ATAGTTTTCCACCTCACTCCTGTGTCAGATAGAAAAATTCACAGGTCAGCAGGAGGACATCATTCTAAGTGTCATCCAAGCACGTCCAATACCACTCTGGTTCCCACACCAGAGCTGCTCCAAACCTGGCTGTGGTGAACCAACTCTGGGGTGGCACTTAGAGGAGTGAGCCTCATTAAGCAGCACACCCTGGACCCGGAACACATTAGGGGTAGCTTGTTCCTCTGCATGGCATGCTTCAAACCCACCCCCAAACTTCCTCAGCCTCACTCCCTACATTCCCGCTGTGGCTGCTTTCTTTAAAGCTATCAGCCTCACAGATAGGGAACTGGACCAGTCTTTTCTCTGACTCTGCTTTAGCAGATTGCTTTCACAGCCTCAAAGTCTCTGGTTTTGAGACATTGGTTCCCACCTTTGTTTCTGAATACTGGGGACTAAATGATCTTTTGAAATGGAGCCTCCAAGATTTCCCATGGCCAAAATAGACCAATTTAGACCCTATAGGTGTATCATAAGACATTAAAACCCTAACTCTTAGTCTAGTGAGGCCTATTTTTTTTTCTGCAAAGTGATGGAATATGATTCAATTAGGTGCTCAGAAAACCTGACCAAGGGCCTTTGGAGACAGTATAGGACAGGGAAGAGGTGTCTATTTCAGGTAGAAAGCTCATAAATACATTTCCACATTGAAAAACATTCCTGGCCAACAACATCTAGTCCTGAGATTTTTTTCTTCTTCCTTTCCTATTTCTTTTGGATATGCAGATGATCACAGGGGATACAGTTTCATGTCATTATAAACAAGAAGGTTGAGAAATTTGACTGAAAAACTGGCATTAAAAGAGAAATTTCTGGGGCTTAACAGCAAACAACACTTGCTGCTCTTCTAGAGGGTCTGAGTTGGGTTCCCAGCATCCACATCACGCAGCTCCTGTAATTCCAGTTCCAAGGACACAATACCCTTTTCTGTCCTTGGCAGACATCATCACTCATGCAACCTTCACACACACACACACACACACACACACACACACACACACACACACACAAACACACACACGTAAATCTTTCAAAAGAAATTTCCAGTTGTTAGGGTGTCTCCTTGATGGTTAGTTCTTCACAGAGGAAAAGATTTGTCTTAAGTCTTCATCACAATCTTCACTTTTGACTGATTATCTTTTTTTGTTGTTGTTATAGTTTTGTCAATGATAAGGTAAGTGCAGTGGCTTTCATATAAAAATCTTCAAACTTGTTTTTACTAAGAATAACACCTTTGGAAGCACAGATTTGGAATTAGAGATGATGGATAATGAAAGCTATACGCCTTTTGATTTAGTTTATTTTAATGATTAGTATGCATTATCTAAAGGTGTGCTTTTGCATATACAGTATTTACAGGCTTCTTAATCAGCTTGTAAATACAGACTTAATGCAAATTCTTTTTAAGCTGTGGAACTTGAAAACATTTAACAAATAAGTTCATTTAAACTTACTGGGCTGGGATGTGGCTTAGGTGTAGAGCACTTGCCTAGTGGGCATGAGGCCCTGGGTTCAATTCCCAATATTATTTCCCACCTTAAAAAAATAGGACAAAATATTTTAACAAATGATAATCGTATTAATGACCAGCATGGTGGTATACATTAGTGATCCAAGCACTCAGGAAGCTGAAGAAAGATAAATACGAAAAGTTGAAGGCCAGACTGAGGCTATGTACCAAGTTCCAGGCCAGCTAAGTCTACATGGTCAAATTATGCCTAAAAAAAAAACAAAAATATAAACTAACTTATCAGTAAGAGAAGATAAGGATGTCTCTGTGGCTGTTAATATATGCTTTTCCTGTATTTATATCAGTTAGATGTTTAAGATGCAAAGTCAATGTTTTCTCTGTTTAAATCCAATTTCTTGGGTTTCCATTAAAATATTATTATTTCAAAATATGGAAATTTTGTAAAGAATAGTAATTCAGGCACGAAACATCAAGCCAGAGGAACATAGGAGAACTTTTAGGTGCAGAAATATATTTTCGAAAAGTGTTAAAGAGAAAGTGGGTGAACAAGGGATCTAAATCCATGTTAAAACAAGAGATGTAAAAGGTTTTGTCTTAAAAGTAACAGATTGATCCGAAATGGAAATGGGCAGGTAAGGAAAACCCAGAGTATGAGCCGCAAAGGTTTGTGAAGGATGAAACATGCTTTTAATTCATAAAAATGATGCATTTAGTGGAGGTGTGTGGGGAGGGATGTCCCCCCTTACCCCTCGCCCCTCACCACCTGCTATAGAGGAGCCTACCTTCCCCGTACCAGCTCCAGCACTAAGGAAGTGGGCCCTGCTCCTCACCTGGGCAGCATGGTAGAGCTGAGCCTGGTGGCAGAGGCTTGGGTGAGCTGGCCCTGAGAGTGGGAGGGTGGGAGAGCTGGCCACATCTCCCTCGTCTACCATGCGGTGGTGAAGGCGAGGGAAAGATGCGCTCCTGCCCTGCTGCTGGCACCCGTGGTGGGCAAGGGAGCTGACCTTCCCCCTTATCAGCTGCCGCACTCAGCGAGGTAGGTCCTGCACCTTGCCTGGGTAACACAGCCAAGCTGACCCTGTTGACAAGGGTGTGGGTGAACTGTCCTCAAGAATGTGAGCATGGGAGACCTGGTCCTGCCCTTCACATGGTGGTGTGCGTGGGGGAGAGATGTCCCACCACCTGTGACAGGTGGAAGAGCTGGCCCTGAGGTCATAAGAATGGGAGAGCTCTCCCTGCCCCTCACCAGCTGCCGCACTACAGAGAGGGGCCCCTGCACCTCACCTGGGCAACAGAGTGGAGCTGGTCCTGATGGTATAGGTGTGGGAGTGCTGACCCTGAGGGTGTGAAAACAGGAGAATTGGCCCCTGCTCCCTGCTTCATCACTGCTAGGAGTAAACCAGTCAGGGCAATGCTGGAGAGCTCACCCAGGTGGTAAGGATGGGGAGAGATGGTAAGCTGACGAACCCGGCAACTACCCAAGCCTAGAACCAGGGCTATGAGTTGGCCCACCCCAACATCCACCCCATCCATGATCT